GAATAATATTGCATAAGTGCCTTGTTTTTCAATGCAGCATCGTATTCCATTGTGTGAATATACCACAGCTTCTCTATCCATTCATTTGTTGATGGGCACTTAGGTTGTTTCCAACTCCTTGCTATTGTGAACAAAGCCGCAATAAACATGGCTGTGTATTTGAACCAACTTCTGACTCACAGCAACCCCTGTGCAACAGATCTAAATTGCAAGAGATGTAAACCTTGGCTGATCCAGCATCCTTGCTCCCACATGCTCAGCCCATTATTGACTCACTGTTAATCTATCTTAGTGATAAGCTTCCTTTCTTTCACTGATACCCTGCTTTTCCAATCACAATGTCTTTGTCCAACAACTGGCACCTCCTGATGACATACCCAAAATATGAGATAAAATCTCATCATCCTTCCCTCTAAGGAATATCCTGACTAAAAGATTTTTTTTTTAATGTGAGCTCCATGAATCTTCAAGAACTCATTAGTAGTAAGCGTTCCAACTCTCGGCAGTAGATAGATTGCTCTTTGGCGGTAGCCTCTCTAGGCTGTTTCTGCTCAGTGTTAACTCAGTTTCATGTCAGCGTAAAACTGAGAACAGGACACCACCAAAGATGTATTTAACTCTCTTCAATCAACAGACAGCAGACCTACTGGAAGTCCTGATACTGTTAATCAGTAATCTTAACTTAGTACAAATTTCTCCTCCCCCAATTCCCCACAACCTTGAACTTCAAAAGTTGGAGCAAGAAAACAGGAACTTGGTAGAAGGAAAAGTTGAATTTTTTGACATTGATTCGTACAGAAGCCAAAGATGTGGGCACATTGTCTCTAAATATACTTTTTGCTCCTTTATGTTAGCAAAGTTATACATTAGGGGGTTTTCCATACTGGCTTATTCATTAGTTTTTCATGAGTTTATCATTAGTGATGTTGTGGGATCAGACCAACCTGAGTTCAGATTTCTCAACTAGGTATGTAGCTGACCTTTACCCAGTTTTTGACCCTTAATTTCTCTGAAAAAACACAGGTGTAAATATTTAAAGTATCCAGCACTGTGTCAACATCTAACATGGTAGCATCTCCATAGAATGGAAATTTTTTTTATACTCAAATAGTTTTCTCAGCTTCTGTAATGCACAAAGGACTATGCCATTCCTAATTATAACAGTGACTGCCAAAGTGGGCTTGAGCTTGGCTGAGATTGTGAGGATGGCACAGGACAGAGCAAAGGTGGTTCACAGGCTCACTTTGTCAATTTGACAGCACCTTAACTTTTTAAATTATGCTCCTGTTTTTTAGGCTAATTAAGACACGGAGCAACTTCACTACTTATAAACATTTCAGAGAATATGAGAACAAAGCTTTTAAAAATCCATTGATTTGTGACATTATTGCTTAAATTTATCACTCCTAGTTGTTTTAATTTGCATCTCTCTTAGGGCTAGGGATTTTGAGCATTTCTTCATGTGCTTGTTAGCCGTCTTTGGTGAAGTGCCTGTTCATATCCTGTGCCCATTTTTCTATTGGATTATTTACCTTTATCTTGTGGTGCTCAAGTATTTCATAAATTCTGGATATAAGTCCCTTATCTGATATGTTATTACCGAATACTTTTTCCCAGTCAGTGGCTTCCCTTTTTACCCTATTGGAGAAGTTTTTGGATGTGCATAGGGATTTGAGTCTTAGAAGATCCCATTCATCTACGTTATCTTCTCCTGGTTGTAGGTTTTCCAGGATACTGGGAAGACTGTTTATGTTGTGGATTAGGACTTCTAGTGTTGTTCCTAGCTTTTCTGTAATGAAGTTTATAGTCCTTGGTTTTAGTCCTAGGTCCATGATCCACCTTGAGTTGGTTTTTGTGTATGGAGTGAGGTGTGGGTCTTGCTTGAGTCTTTTGCAGATATTTTTCCAATTTTGCCAACACCATTTGTTAAAAAGGCTGTCGTTTCCCCACTTCACTGATTTCATCTCCTTGTCAAAAATCAGTTGACCATAGATAGATGGGTTGATCTTTGGATTCTCAATTCTATTCCATTGATCTATGTGTCGGTCATTGTACCTGGCGAGGTTGTGGAGAAACTGGAACCCTGATTCAGTGTTGGTGGGAGTGTAAAATGGTGCAACCCCTGTGGAAAGCAGTATGGCGCTTTCTCAAAAAGTTGCAAATAGAGATACCATTTGACCCAGCAATTCCACTACTGGGAATATACCCTGAAGAGACCATAGCTGACATCCAAGCAGATATATGCACACCCATGTTTATTGCAGCTTTGTTCACAATAGCAAGGAGTTGGAAACAACCTAAGTGCCCATCAACAAACGAATGGCTAGAGAAGCTGTGGTATATTCGCACAATGGAATACTATGCTGCACTGAAAAACAAGGAACTCATGCAATATTATTCAAAATGGTTGACTCTGGAGAACATTATGCTGAGTGAAATATCCCAGTCACAAAAGGACAAATATTACATGATGCCACTGTTGTAGAATGGGACTAACCTCGGGGTTGGGGAGAGACTGAGTAAGATGGGTTCAATTATGTATACTGCACTGAAAACAGAGGAGGGAGAAAACTGTTTAAAAGAGATATGTGACTAGGTATTTCTGTCATCACAGGAGTCTAGAGCGATGGCTACATGGTGGAGGGGAACTGGGGGAGGGTTAGTAAAACAATGAAATAATCTTTTACTTTTCCATAATTTTGACTCTTGTACTTATAACTTGTTAGTTAAATTTGTGTCTTCTAGGTTGCAACAACCCCATGATACATCTTCAAGGATATGAACATGTACGGCTAAGCACAATTGATAACAGTGCATCTAAATTCCAAAATCAATCTCCGTAATAGTCTATGTGTTTCCTACTGCCAAAGGGGCTCTTTAGAGTAGTGAGAGAAGATCTTCACCCTGAAACCCACAGCGTCCCTTTTCAGCAGGAAGTAGCTAAGAGAATACACCATCCCCTTTTCCTTATGAATCAGGGTGAAGTCTCTCTCAGGGAGGAGTGATAGGGAATGGCAAAGGACACACTGACAAAGAAGATTAATCAGAACTGACTTTGACAAGCACTGTGGCAATTGGACAATTAAAACAGACATTCGGATGGCGGGGGAAGAACAAACTGGGGAGGAGGGTCGAGAGAATGGTGCAGCAATGAAGGAATGAAAACCCAAAATCCCTGTAAATGTTCATTAAAACTAATAAAATTTAATAATAAAAAATAAATTAAAAAAACTTATCACTCCTAACTACATAACTGCACAAATTCTAAGAATGTAGATAGATGCTAACTGAAAAGTCTTCGAACCTCAGAAACATTTTTGTAGCTGTGTAATTGCAAGAGAAAGGCAAGGAGTCAGTTTGTTACGGATATAGCCCTGATAACGCATTAACAAGTTGATTCTTCCTATTCTAAAAAGTTCCATCCGTGAAGTGCAGGAAGAAGTTGTTTACAAAGAGCTCTGCACCAACAAATGAACTGTCTTTATCTGTTTGCACCACTTTAGGATTTGGCTGCTCACAAATGGGGAGGTTGTAGAGACAAGTCACAGGAAATGGGAAAATTTGTGCTCTGTGTAAGGAGCATGAAGTTCTCGGAGTGGATTGCAGAGCTACCAGAACAGGAAACAGTGTAGCAGAAAAGGGCCTTATCTGGGGACCTTATTTCCCACTGTGCTGATTCCTCTCTCGTTTTCTCAGTTTTATTTAATAAACAGTACAAAGTTTCCCAGGAAGAATGTGTACATTCAGATTCCCTGTTCCATTAGTAAACAGCAGCACATTATACACCGCCTGTTAAACTTCCTTTCTGATATTTGTGCATGACCCTGCATATTACTAAAAATTACAAGCACTTAAAATAATTTAAGACCATTATTTCATGAGATCTAATTATAGTCTCCTGTGGCCTCACTGGCCAGGCATT